ATGTATGTATGGGAATTTGTCAAAGAAATTGACCTACCCACGACATGTTTTGTGTTTGATTTTTTCGTTTTATTGCTTATTTTAATTAAGTTAAATTTATTTGTTTACTTATTTATATTAAATATAAATTAAGCTTAAGGGTTTCATTATGCAATTCATATTATTCTATTGTTCTATATATAACTCGTAAATTGTTTTTCTACAAACATTTTCTATTATAATTTTCTGATGTCATGCTATAAATAATTTAATTTACTTAATAATTTTTTTATTTGCCATAAAAATTAAAGATTGACTTACATTATTCTATGAAAATAATTAATATTTCTAAAGTATTGAAAATAGGGTTTAAAAAGTTTGGAAAATGTGTTTTCTATACTCATAACTCGTTCATTAAAACTTATTAGATTCTTCGTATTTCTTTAATTGGTCTATATCTACCTACTGCCAGTGTTGTTCTTCTAAGTTGTGTTCTTAAGATAGTCATAATACCAACTAAGATATTTCTTTAAGTTAGCAATTACAGAGATATAACTATGGTATATTCTATAGCCTTGTTTTCAGTAAACGTTTTTCTCTAAAAGAAATTCTACAAGAAACACTAGAAAATGTAAATAGTCGGAAAGAAATTATATTGATGGAAGTGTTGCAGTTTTGCAACTGTATTTAAACATTGCTAAAATATTAACAGATTTTTTGTTAGTTTTGATTCTCCCTGTATAGTTAAAAAATATTTCGCGTACAAAAATATAGATGCTATCGAACAGTTAGACTGTAACATTATAAACGTTACATCTTTATTAATTTATATTTAAATAATTATTTTATTGTAATCTCTTTATTAATTTATTAATTCCTTAACCTTAAGTTTCTTCTAAATATGTCTGGTTGACTAAAATATTCTGTTTTATGTTGACAGAAGAGCTCATTCCATCATAGGCATTCGTCCTACTGCATTTGTGCTATATTTCATTGTAGTCACGCCCTACTTTCTGTCAATCAGCTTTTCTAACGTAGTGGGATATATTTTTTTGTCTGTAATTAAAATTTATAAAAGAAGGTAATATGAAATAAGGTTCATCTTTATGGTCTGCAGAAATATGTTGGGTATATTTAATAATATATGGAATAATTTGAAATACCTACCCACATCTCTGGAGACAACAACAAGACTTACTCACATAATCTGGAGGCAATATCTTAACAGAAGCAAGCAGGGTTATTTTTGCAAATTAAATTTTATTTTGCTTTATGTTGAATCCATATGGTTAGTTAATTCATTGTTTTATTTGTTACCAACTAAATTTTTATTGTTTAATTCATAGTTTAGGACAAGACGTATTTACACTTGAGAGACTGAGCTAGGCGAAGCATAGACAATAAGCTCCCATAGATTGAGGTATTATTTTATAATAGTATTTCTCTTTGGTGTAGAGCTAGTTCACGTCCGTAGTAGAATACGATACGTGCAACATGGGTAACGCTAAATGAACTAGCACATACTGGCAGTCAGACAATCCTTAGGATCTCCTGACCAAACAACACTTCCAACGAAAGATGATAAAAAAAATAAACGGCCCTTATGAGGACCAGACCAATCGGACCTATAGTTCGAACTTGCCACATAAACATATAAGACATAAACTATGCTAAAATCCAGTTTTCATTAAAATTATTAAAAGATGACAACAGGAAACCCACTGCCAAACAGAGGAGCAACTACAAAAAAGGGACAAAATACCGGACTATGAACTATTAGGCGCAACTTACCACTGTAGCACAGCCACATATGTCAAAGAAGATATTGAAAATGTTTCGCTAATCTCTACTTCCACTGATAGCTGTATTTATAATGTGGTCAGAAAAATCGCTAGCATTACCGTGTTAAACATTTACAAGCCACCTGCTACGTCTTAGCTAGCCCGAGAAATTAAAGGACAGCCTCACCCTGCTATATACGTTGGAGATTATAATAACCATCATGAACAGTGAAAGTACAAAAATAGTGATGCGAATGGGAATGCTTTAATAAAGTGGACAGAAGACGAACGCCTGTACCTTTTGTTTGATGCCAAAGATCGACCAACCTTCAGATCCGCGGGATGGAGATACAACCTCGACCTATGCTTCATCTCGACCGACAACAAAGACTTACCTCTAGGGACTTCACAAAGAGTTCTAACTAATTTCCCACACAGCCAATATCGACCAGTAATAATAGAAGTAGGGACGCAAATTCCTTTAATTAGTTTTATCCCACGTCTCTGCGGATCGGGATAAATGTCCAGAGTGGATTACACATAATATCAAAAACCACCAAAGATTTGTTGGTGCCGTGCTAAGTGTATCGCACATACCAAGAGGGTATCGCAAAGAATATATCCCTGGCTGGTCGGAAAATAGCGAGGAACTATATCAAAGCTTTCTTGAAACTCGCGACCAAGAAATAGCGGATGAACTACTGTACAGCCTAGACGCCGCTACAATCCAACAGTGGACCGAAATAGTAGAAAGTCTAAACTTTCAGAAATCAAGCAGACAGGCATGATCATTACTAAGAAAATTAGGGAGTGGTGTCCGTACGAAACGCCAAGAGGCAGCTGTAAAGCCAGATGCTGAAGCATCATATATAGTAAAAACATCCAGGGCACCAAAGGCTAAAGCACACACGATCTACGTAAAGAGAGAACTTAAAACTTTAAAACATGTAGCCACAGAAACGGAGCATTTCCTTCGGAGCAAGACAACCTAAAAAACTCGCTTCTCTCTGCCATCTACAAACTATTAGAAAGGCTTATATATAAGAATTAATACAGAATATTTTTGCAACTGGCAACTTCAACCAAATGCATCCAAAACAGAAGTTAGTTGCTTTCAATTGAACAATAAACTTGTCGGAAAGAAATTCAACATACGGTTTGAAAATACCACACTTAACCACAACAAAACACCGAAGTACCTGGGCGTAACACTAGATAGAACGCTATCATTTAAAGAGCATTTAACAAAAACTGTCCAAAAGTTGGGTAAAAGAAATATCATTATACAGAAGCTCTGCGGTACCACCACTCGGCTTCCACTCTCCGCTCTACTGCCTTAGCCCTTGTTTTCTCGACCGCTGAATATTGTGCTCCAGTTTGGCAGGACAGTCCACAGGTAAAAAAAATCTAACTCAGCTGCACAGCACTATGAGGATGATAGCTGGTACAATTAAATCAACTCACCTACCCAATGGCTTTCAGTATTAAGTCACATCCCATATCCACATTTACGACGAGTTGACGCACTTACACGTGAATACAAAAAGATTATGAACAATATAAACCTGCCGATCCACCAAGATACCGAGGATGCACGAAATACTTCTCCGTTCTAGAAAACCACCAATGAAAACGGCAAGAATGATACATGAGGAGTTCAACATCACGAATGCATGTTAAAAAGTCATATTTTTTCTCAATTTCTTCTAGTTCTTGGTACTGCTCATGTAACATTCTCTCCTTAGCTTCTTTTAATTTGCTTTTAATTAATCGATCAGTTTTATTATATTTAATTGGATATTTTTTGTTTTGAATGATTTTCATTTATTCATTAATAGTAGTATTTCTTCAGTCATCCAGTCTTTATGTTTCCTTTTCTTTGGTTTTAAGTTTTCACTTGCTGTTTTAATTATTGCTACTTTTATATTTTCCCATTTCTGATCAATGTTATAGCTATGGTCAGTTTTATTCAGTTCTTGGGCATTACGTAGATTTTCAGTAAGAGTTTTTACAGTTTGTCCCTTTGTTTGTGTTTATCTTAATCTCTTAATACCAGTTCTACTTTGTGTCGGTTTTTTAACCAGTTCCAATTTGATTCATTAATGTGACTACTATGGGGTTATGGTCTGAACCGATGTCTGCTCCAGGGTAAGTTTTGGCAGACAGTATAGAATTACGAAATCTTTGTCTAATGAGGACAAAATCAATTTGATTTCAGATTATTCTATTCGTTGTATCACCGGGAGATTTCCATGTATGCAATCTTCTTTTTGGTAGCTTAAAAAGTGTATTAGCTATTACAAATTCTTTCGTCTGTAAATTGTATCAAACGGTCACCACGTGCATTTCTATTTCCTAGACCATATTCCCCGACATATCCATCTGCTCTTCCCTGGCCAACTTTACTATTCATGTGATGTTTCTTCATTGATTTTAATACTTGTTCCAAATCATGGTAAAATAGTTCGATATCGTTGTCATCTTTGTCTGCCGTTGGAGCATAAACTTGAATAAAATTTACTATACCTTTTTTAGACTGAAGTTGTATTGATAAAATCCTATCAGAATAAGGAGTAAAACTTCTCACAGAGTAATTGACCTTTTCTGCAACTAAGATAGCAACACCATAGCGATGATTGACCTCGTTGTTACCTGAATAATACATGGTTCCATTATTCAGTTCATACCGAGTACAACATAAAAGTCGAAAAACATTTGCGCCTCAAATTAAACATTAATTGAATTGAGTTATACAAGTCAGTTTTTAGTGAAATGTTCACAAAGTGTTTATTATCACAAGATCCACAACCGTGACTACCTATTTTTATTGGTCATCTTTTGTGAATCCTGATATATGCAATAATTGGTTATATTGCCGTTCATATCAGCACACAGGCAAAAAAACTGGTTTAATTTATCATTTGTCGAATATCGATTATCTACCTACAAAGTATAATTGATATTTAATTGATTTGGTTTAAATCGTAAATTGGACGAAAATAATAAATTATGCCTGTGTGTATAAACTGTAAGCAATCTACCATAAACACTCAAATTATAAAATGTTTGGGATGTATGAATTCTTTGCATACTTCATGCATTGGCTTACAAGGCGATGATGTCAGTCGGATTACACGAATGCGTAGTAAAAATATCAAAGTACTATGTAATACTTGTAGCAACGGAGAGGACAAGTTTGTTCAATTAAAGCAATTTTTAACGAATCTTGTGGAAACTAAAATGCAGGATCTGGAAAGGAAAATAGCTAATATTAATCCTACAATACAATCCGAACATCAGGAAGAGATAATTGAAGAAGCCATGGACCGTATTAATCGATCGCACAGTATCATTTTTTATAACGTACCAGAAACTAATTCTGCTATGGAAGATAATAATAAAGTAAATGATATTCTAACTACGATACAAGGTGGTAATGCAAATCCGATTTCTGCAAGACATGTACACAGAATTGGTAAACGATCAAATAAGGCCCGTCTAGTGAAAGTGACATTTTCAACACCCGCGCAGGCTAACTCTATTTTGCGTATCAAGAATAAATTAGCCACATCTACTTTCTCTGCTATTTCAATTTCTGATGATAAAACACCTCGGCAGAGACAATACTTAAATGACCTCCGGATCGAACTGAAACGTCGAACAGACAATGGAGAACAAAATCTGATCATTAAGTATGTAAAGGGTAGACCTACTATAGTCAGTAAAACTGAGAGCTCTTTAAACTAAATGTGTCCAGCAGTTCCAGATTAAGTAAATCACAACACGTTGAAATTACATGTTATTACCAAAATGTACGCGGCCTTAATAGCAAAATTTCATTATTTAATGCAAACGTTAGTGATTGTGAATTCGACATCATAGCATTAAGCGAAACGTTGTTACGCAGTGATGTTTCGAGTATGGAACTCTTTCCGAATAATTATGTCGTATACAGAAAAGACCGAAAATTCCATGAGGTGGACAAAGTGAAGGGTGGTGGTGTAGTGCTCGCGTTAAAAGATTTCATAACATCCGAAATATTGGACATCACGGCTCTCGACGCACAATTTCCACTAATTGATCTTATTATTGTCAAGTGCCGGATTGGTTACAAATATTTTTATATAGATAGTTGTTGTTTATTTACCTGATAGATTAAGTTTGGTAGACTTTGAATATTTTCTCGATTGCTTAGGACAATTTGATTACTTAAATAATGACTGTATAGTACTAGGCGATTTTAATGTTTCAAGGTTTATAGATAATGATATGTCTGATTTCAAAACTTCTGTAGTTTAAGTTTTGCGGGCTCTACTGGACTTAGACAATTTAACAATGTTGTTAATCATTTGGGTAGACTGCTAGATTTGGTCTTATCGCATTTCAGTTGTGAAGTGAAGCATGATGACTCACCTTTGGTCTATGAAGACCTTCATCACCCAGCTCTTCTAATAACATTTACGGATATATTTGTAAAAGAGCCTAAATTTAAGTGTGGTTTAAAGCAATTAACTTACAACTTTAAAAAAGCAAATTTTCCTGCTTTATATCGAGAACTGTATGAAACGGATTTGAATTCTCTGGATACTTCTAATGACGTTAATGAAAGTTTAAATAACTTTTATGATAAAATTTTTTCTGTGTTTAATAAGTATATTCCAGTTTATAAAAACTTTAGCCATAAATACCCCCCTGGTTCGATGCTGATATCATTCACAACAATAAATTAAAAGCAAAGTTTAGAAAAAAATTTAAACGATTCAAAAATCATTGTGATTTGCTTGAGTTTCAACGGTTAAGACACCTTCTCAAATAAAAAATAAGTTTGGCATACAATCTATATGTCGAGAATATCCAAATTGCTTTATCCAACAACCCCAAGAAGTTTTGGTCTTATGTAAATTCAAAAAATAATAGTTCAAGAATTCCTGGTGTGATGAAATATAATGACATTGCTACCTCCGACCCACAAAATATTGTGAATGTGTTTGCAGAATTTTTCAAGAGTGTTTTTCTGTCATCAGATATTAATTTCAAGGCTAACTCTTCCTCAGTTAACTCAGATTATTTAAATTTTTTTATCCTATTTTAGAGTCTGAGATAATTTTTGCTAGTAAGAAATTGAAAGACAAAATGACGTCTGGACCTGATAATATTTCATCCTTTTTGGTTAAGGATTGTATAGGTGCCTTAACTGTGCCACTATTAAAAATTTTTAATTTATGTCTTCTTAACAAGGAATATCCGAGTCTCTGGAAGGAGTCAAAAGTGTGTCCAATTTTCAAAACTGGTGAAAAGGGTCAGGTAGAAAACTACAGACCAATTTCCATTATTTGCAATCTATCGAAAGTCTTTGAAATAGTTTTGTATAATCGTATTTATTCACGCACTCGTAATCAGCTGTCTCAATATCAACATGGTTTTGTCTCCAATCGGTCCACTGTGACAAACCTATTAATGGTCACACATATATCTCAGCAGCCCTAGATAATAGAAGTCAAGTTGACGTCATATATACTGACTTTACGAAGGCATTCGACAGAATTCACCACGGCGTATTACTTTCTAAATTGTGTCTCTTTGGTCTTTCTGAGGATGCCGTGACTTTTATGAGGTCTTACTTGTCAAATGAACGCAGTTTGTTGCTTATAATGGTTACAAATCGGAAAAGTACCTAGCTTCTTCAGGGGTTCCACAAGGTTCTAATCTAGGTCCATTATTGTTCCTGTTATTTATTAACGATCTGTGTGAATCAATTTCTGCACCATGTTTATGTTATGCCGATGATTTAACAGGTTGACTGCCAAGCTGAAAATTCTAATTTTTCCTGTTGCGCCAAAGTAATTTATAGTAGAAAGGTGTATTAAAAAACAGTTCGGCACAAACTAAATTTTGTTTTAAATTAAAAGAAAAAAATTACGGCCAAAATTTAAAATCGGCTAAAATGACCGCTCTGGCGTAGGCGGACAAAATAACCTGTCTACGCCAGGGCGGTCAGCTGTAGCGGCCACCTCTATCCTTATGCTAAGGTAATAGTTCGCGCGTTTTAGCTAGTTAGTTAGTGTAGACTATTATTGCAAGGGTGTGGCTCGTTGTTTTTATTGTGTGTGTACTTGTATTGCAAAACTACATTATGTTTACAAATCGGCGTACTTTACGTCTATTGAAATTAGCTGGAGAAATGCCTCAAACAGATGGTAATACCTGCATTATTTTATTGTTTTTCTGTAAATATAGGTTAGATTGTTTTATTTCAGAAGAGTCAGAAACAGATGACGACTTTGGTTCATTTAATTCTACAGATTTATATGTACCCTCAAGTTCGGAAGAAATGGACATATCATCTAATTCAGACCATGATGAAAATATTAGTCCAAATAAAAAGAAAATGCGGTTTGATATAAACAAAACCACTGATACTTGTGAAGCTCAAGCAGGTCCATCAGGTATTGGTAATGGGGTAAATATCAATCCACTGACAACCGAGCCGCTTAGAGATGTCACCAATATGTCCGACGATGAGTTACTACCAGAAAATAATGAGATTGGAAATGATCCAATGGTTGATAGAGGGGATTTTGTGATTGATCAACCAATTAGTAGCCCAGTTCCAACAGAATGGACAAATCCTGTTAGTAATCACCAACAATTCGATTTTACTGAGACATGGGGGCTCAACCCAATTTATGCAGCAGCTATTTCTTTAGAACAAGTTTCACCGTCAACCTGTTTTTACGCATTTCTTGATAATGAAGTAGTGGATATGATAGTAAATCAAACCAATTTATATGCAACACAGCAAGTGTTAGGACATGATGTTTCACTGAATTCGAGGTTACACGCCTGGCAACCAACGAATAAAAAGGAGATGTATCAGTTCATCGGTCTTCTGGGTTACATGGGATTAGTTCAAATGCCTTCACTATCACATTACTGGAGCAGAAAACCCTTATTTCGTAATGATATTGCTTCAACTGCTATGAGTCGAAATCGCTTTGAGCTGTTGCTCAGAATGTGGCACTTTTCAAATAATGAAGAACGTGAAGAGGGAGACAGACTGCACAAAATTCAACCACTTGTCGACCTACTCTTAAGAAAATATCAAGACACATATACTCCAGGAGAAGTATTTTGTATCGATGAAAGTATTGTTCCCTTTCAAGGAAGATTAGTGATGAAGCAATACATGCCTCAAAAAACTCATAAATATGGTGTTAAAGTATTTAAGTTATGCTGTGGTAAAGGCTATACTTGGAATTTACAAATTTATGCTGGCAAAGAAAGAGACAGAGGAGCTTCAGTTCCTACCAAAGTCGTGATGAATTTGTCAAGAAACCTCCTGAATGCAGGTCGAACTGCCATTACTGATAATTATTACACCAGCCTTGAACTGGCTAATCGTCTACTAGACAACCGTACACATTTGATTGGAACTTTGAGATCAAATCGTAGAGGTAACCCAAAGGAGGTTTTGGATAAGAAATTGAAGAAGGGCGAAACATTTTGCAAAGAAAATTCAAGAGGTGTATGTGTGATAAAGTGGCATGATAAACGCGATGTTCTTATTTTGTCTACTAAGCACACTGATAGTTGCCAACTTATTGAACGCCATTCAGGACCCATAAGAAAACCGGATGCTATAATTGATTACAACGCTGGGAAATCATCAATCGATTTGTCAGACCAGATGTCCAGCTATAATTCCGCTTTGCGTCGATCATTAAAATGGTATCGTAAAATCGCGATCGAACTTCTGTTAGGTACAACTATTGTAAACGCTTATATAGTATTCAAGACACTTTCTAATTCAAACATGACGATTACTAAATTCAGAGAAGAAATTGTATCTGACTTAGTCAAAGGTGGTCCCGTTTATGATCAAGTCGAACAAGCTGAAGATGAACCACTGCCACCAGCAACTACAAGAAAGACTTTACGAAATCATACATTGCTAAAAAAAGATGGAATTGCTACTTCTGTAAGGAAATACTGCAGAGGTTGCTACAAGAAAAAAACTACAGGAGAAATATCTAAAAACAAAGTAAAAAAAGTTACTACATATTGCGCAGACTGCCAGGGGCATCCTGATTTTTGTCTGCCTTGTTTTAATTTCAAACATTTAAAAATGTAATGACTTTTAAAACCATGTTATTTTTCAATTATTTCAATAAAAACTTACTTATTTCTATCTAAAATCATTGATTTTTTACTTATAATGTACAATTTTTTTTTGTGGTATACACATATAATACATAGCGCATATGTAAGTAAATATATTTACTCACATATCCATACAGGCCAGGCGGTCATGTTGCCTATGCATTTTTAACGAAATCGGCGGTCATATACCCTTTACAGACACTTTTGTTAAACAATGCACGGCGGACAATATGACCGCCATGGCGTGAGTTACTAGTACTATGAGCGGGCATAATGACCGCTCTGGCAGTCAACCTGTTAAAGATTTATTCATTG